ATCCGGCCCTGGAACGGAACTAAGTGGCATCGGGGGAAGAAGAGAAATGCGGATTGGATTGTCGGGTGGAGCTTAGCGACGAGCTCATTCCATCCTATGCTGAGAATGCTTTTCCATGGCGCTTAGTTCCGTTTGACAGAACCAGAGCAAGGGACCCTCCATTGGCCTCTTGGCGACAGGTGGAAGCTTTTAATTTCCGGGATTCAACAGTTCCTTATGGACAATTATAAGAATGCAACAGTCATCATCCTAATTTCGACTGATGACCTACCTACATGGTGGCTGATGAGCTTCGAATGACGTCATGAGCCAAACAAGTTTCCCAAACTTCGGTCATTTTCAGCTTGTTTACAAAACGGAGCTGCCAACACGTTGTTGAACATCAACCATGTAGGTAAGTCAACAGTAGAATGCTGAAGTCCCGAAAGTAAAAGCTTCCACAATGGCCAAGATACTAGTGGAGGGTCTCTTCTCTCTGGACAGAACGCACTACCCGGGGTTCTGAAATCCTCAAAAGGAACTCAAATTGGCGCTTAGTTCCATTCAGCGGAAATACGTCCAAATATTGATAACCTCTACAAAATTCGCAAGACAGAATGCAATATCTCTCGAAATTGAAAGTATGGTGTTGTAGTTTTAATGCGAGCATCTGTCAACATCGTGGGGATTTTGAATCGAGATTGGGGCTTTAGTGCGTTCGTTCAGCACCGCCTTAGTCTTGTGTCCATTTCTTATTCTTTTAATGCCAAAGTGATTGGCCTAAAGCCCGAGTACCAGAGGCTGTGTAGCCAGGGGTAGAGGAGGGAGGAGATTCATAATTGATGTCATCAAATCGCCAAATCCTTGGGCACAAAACTGCTGAAAGTAATCTCCGAGCTTATTATTGCCATTTGGACGTATTTCTATCGAACGGTACTATGTGCGTGAGCCCTGTTATGCACATATTCTTAAGGGTCTCAGGGCTCATGTCTTATTGTACACAGTTCCGTTTGGCAGAAATACGTCCATTTATGGTATCCTCGAGGAGACTATAGCTTGTTCTCTGAGAACCACAGAAATGATGGCTACCAATATGAACTAGATATGGATATATTGAAACCGATACTGGAGAGATTTTCACGATTATCATTTCTTTACCACCAAGTGGTAAATTTTTCATTTAACACAGTATAAATGAAACTATTGTTGATTATAATCACTATAAGTTCATCCAACAGGCATGTAACCATTTATTGTATCCTCTCTCACTCCCTGAAGTATTTTTGTCATTGTTTGTTTTAGCGATATACCGAGCCAATTTCCATTATTTTTTGTGGCTATCGGCAAGTAGTGATCTTTAAATGAGCCTATTTTCTTTGAAGCGCTAATGACCCACATTATTCTACTTTACGCGATGAAATAGTAAATTTTCCCATTTAAACCCTGTAATTTTATATATTTTGTCATAGTTTCGTTCCAAATATCTGCAGTGCCGCGATTTTTACAGCTGTTGTTTAGATTTTATTAGTATCTGTAGCGTTGGTTCTCGAAGTCATTAGTTCTCTCTTTGTAATTATTAGACGATCGCACTGATTCCATCGCATTTTTATATCCTTGTATATCCTACACTTTGATATCATCGCAAGAAGGACAACATTATTACAACATAAGGACTAACGGCAAGTCATTTTTCCTAAAACATTTTTTCCTACTGCAATTTTTCCTAATACTTTTTTCCTACTCGTTTTTTGTTCCATCACAGTTACTCCTACGAGTGAGATGTCCTACTGGCTTTTTTCCTAGGGGCATTTGTCCGAAATTCAATTTTAAAACTAGGGGATCGAGAAAGTAGAAAAACAACATAGGTACCTCACAAGTTAAAATTGTGGCCGCATACCCGTAAGTAGTGGAGCTTCATCCTCCTCCTTATATTGAGGATATAGAAGGCTCAGCTTGTAATGTCTCCTGTTCACGCACTTATATTCGGCTCGCTGAGAAAACTTAACTCTTTCTGAAAAATTTCCCTCTACTCTACTCATGTTTACGTTTCAATTATTATTGAATTATTAGGACAAACACCCTTAGGAAAAAAGCCAGTGGGACATCTCACTCGTAGGACTTACTGTAATAGGACAAAAAACGAGTAGGAAAAAAGTAATAGGAAAACCTGATGAAGGAAAAAAAAATTTAGGAAAAATGACCTAGCACCAGGACTAACATTTGGGATTTTCTCGTCGTGTTTCACACCGTAAGGCTGAATGGTCGCTGGTGTTGTCAGGTGCCTCAAAGGGACATCCCTCCAAATATAATTTCGGGTGAAAAATCAAGATTGAATTTATCACGTCGTGATAACAAGCTACATACAGGGCTGTTCCGAGGAGGCAGAACGTTTTTTCAATAAACCCACCGACATTACCATCACGCTCGTATCCAATCGTGTTGACAGAGTGATGTCTCAAGGGACCAGGGACTCCATCTCTTCATTCCCGCCTCAGAATTTGTCGCTCCTGAAGTGGATTGATGAGTTTGCCACGCTGAATTTAGTGCATTTTTATCGATTTTATTTATTTTGACGCTGCTGCGGTAGATAAAGCGCTATATTCTATGTTACATCACTCTACATACAGACTTTCTTAACACTTTACCTCAATCATACGTATCTATTGAGAGGCTTGGAGGACACACAACACACAAGTGCAGTTTTCGGAAGAATTGAGATATTAATGATTTTGAGTTAAACAGGAAACTAGTTTTAATGCATATTTTGTGAAAATTTCGCGCCCAAAGTACGATTTTTCAGCATCAAAAAGTCAGTTTCAACTTGCTATCCGCCATAAGGCTCCATATAGTTTTGGAACTTCAAACACGTATTTCTCGAAATAGCAAAAACTGCACTTGTGCGCCTTGTCCTTCAAGCCCCTCAGTTATGGTTTCCACTAATATTCAGTCGTGAATCAAAATTTGTGAATAGAAACTCATGATTTTAGCCTCTGGGTGCATAGGAAACTTTTACGCGATGCATATCTGATTCAGATAATGGGCATCTAAAACTTTCAGAGCGTTGCATCAAACAACCAATCAAGCAAATGATTGATGGATTCTCTTTTAAAATTAAAATATCATCAATCATCTTCAGAGATACCAAAGATATTCAATGGTTGCACTATTAATTGTTACTAGTTAAAGAAATAGATTGTTCGTATTATCTGTAAACATCGCGCATTCCGTCGGGTAAAATCCAAATGAAGAAGCCCGATACGATATATTTTAATCTGACAATACTGCCTTGATGATCATTAAAGATATTTAAGAACCTCTGAATATCATTGATGATATTGTATTTTTATGGAAGCGGGGGTTTTCAAAGGCTCTTTGCAAATACGAGATAGAAACACGTTTCTTTTGTGCCAAACAGCAATCTCTTAAATTGATTTTATTTTTTGTTAACCGACGTGAAAATTCAATCTTTTCAAAGACGCAAGAGATTCGGCGGAGGTAGAGAGCGATAAAAACTAATCCCTTTAAAATTTTACAAGTCTTTCAAAATATTCTCAACTTTGCTCGATCGTCTTTGAGCATTCAACAGCCAAGTCAAGAGTCTCGATTCCGGTAGTTCAACATTTACGCTTCTCCTCTCATTAACGAAAGAGTAAAAGAACCAGTATTTAATTTTAAAATTTCCATAGGATACGGACGTAGAAAAATGCAAGGAACTTTTAAGAGATAAATCTGATTAAGGCCACGTACAAATTGAGTTTACTTGTGACTTCAATTTTTTTGGACAAATTGTTTGGTGGGTACTTTGAGGGATTCCGGGACCACTTACCCACAGATTCATCACTCAAGGTATAATTCACCCAGACCTTTTCACGGACAACCGTGGACCCACTAAATTTAGACCCTCAAGTACGTTCGTGTACGTGCCTCTTTGTGAAGGAGTCACAAGACGTTTCGCTGCAATGGTCATTAAAAACACGAGGATTACAACGAAAATCACCCGTCCTTCGGACATCACGCTGAAGTGCTTGATACAACTAAATCAACTCCTGAGCCGCTCAAATTGCATCCTTCAAGTTGAAGGCGAACTTGATTTCTGACTCCTGTTTCCAGCTGTTCAGACGTGACCGCGAGAGTGGTGCTCAATTCTAACTTGTGCAACTTGATGAGAACGCTGGTAGTTAAGAAGCACGTACGTGCGTTAAAAAGAATGTCGACGGCGTAAGTCCGCAATCACATATCTCGTTTGCGGTGTCTGAAAATCTCCGCCTCGACGTTATTTTTTTAAAGGAGAAAAAATTGATATCATTCCTTGAAGTTTTTGCAGAATTTTCTTCGCACAGAGAAGAAAAATCATGGGAGTTTTAAAAAAATTGCACTGAAAAAAAAAAATCTCGGTGTATTTACTAAGAAAAGGGTAAAATTACTACGAATTCAGGGTTCTATTTGATCCCAGTTTTTTCTTGGTAAAATGACCATTTATGGAATTGGTAATTTTACCGAGAAATATCAGTAAAATTATTGAATTTTCTCGGTAATTTTACTGGACCTTGGTAAAAACGCCAATATTTTTTATCGACTGTGGTAGAATTACCGAGATAAAATGGCAAAGTTATCGGGAATTAATTACCAATGAAAGAGGTATTCTTACCTGAAAAAACAGTAAAAATACCGGTTTTTAGGTAAGCTTACCAGTCTGTCTTGGTAAAAGTACCAATAATTGGTAAAAAAAGTGAGATGGTAAAGGTACCAACGGACCGAGGTAAAAACGCCGAGAATTTTTTTCAGTGTGCCGTGTAGTAGTTTTCCTTTTAAAAAATACAGTATGACAGGAAGTCTGTGACGTCGCAAACCGAGTTATGTGATTGCCGACTTACACCGTCGACGTAGGTGAATATTCGTGGGTTCAAAAGTCTTCGGTGGAAACGTGTGGGCGAATAGTCCCTTGGGCGAAAAATCTGTTGATGAGTAGCCCTGGCAGCTTTTGAAGCGAAGACCGACTGGAAGAGAGTAAGTGTACTTACCAACAGCGAGATTCTTCAGCTTGGACGGGGAGAGTTTCAAACGGTCTAGAAGAGGTCCGGATGTGTTGGCCTTCTTGGCCTCGTTGATGTCCTTACCGTTGGCGTCCAGAATGTCCGATTGCTTGGAGACGAGGAGGTCAGCCAACTTGTAGATGGCCTCCGCTCGGGCTTCCGCGGGCAGAGCTTGCAGCACTCGACTCCCGTGACGAGCTGTTCACAAAAAAAAAAAAAATAAAAAATAAAAAAATACGCTCGGATCAGAAAATATTTTACAAGTGAAACATAAGATCTGCCTTGCTAAGGAAGAACGCCGTATGAACCTTTGAGAGTTGCCGAATTTCCCTTGATAAAATATGTATTTTTGTAAACATTCATGCATATTTTTCCTTGAAATTTTCAGATTTTTGAGATTGAATTGCGTACAAATCGTCTGAAAATTTTGGAAAATAATATTCGCAATTCTCCCAGTAAATTCGATTTTTATCGGAGGAAACTTGTCAACGTCTGAAGGCTCATACGGCATTCTTCCTTAGCACGGCGGAAATAGAGTGTATCTAAATGAATCTTGATAAAATATATTGTTGCATGTAAGAGATACAGAAAGTGAATGGGCATTCTCTTAGAAAAACCAAGTGAGAAATACCGGGGACAAAGAGATGTCCTCCATTTAATTCTTGGTGGCAGGTAGAAACTTTAACTCTGGGTAGTCAGCACTTCCTCATCGACAAGCATAAGGCAGCAACAGAATCACTCTTTTTTGGTTGTTGACCTACCCAGCACCCACTAGGTGATGATGAATCAACTCAATCCTAACCGAGCTTTATTCAATTTCACCCAAGTAAACGGGTTTCAAGATTATCATATCGAACGAATCGCGTCGTGCGCCTGCAATCCAGGCGATAGACCATCGTGTAGTGTGGCACTTTGCTCCACGGTGCATTGCCCGATCTTTCAATTTTGCTGGTGTGTGACACCATTTGCTCGAAAGTTTAGAGGGTATTTTTTTACGCGAGTAAAAGCTCAGTCGGCCGTCAATTTTAAGCTGTGTTTTAAGGAAGGCTCCACCAGTAGATAGATACGCGGTATTCATAATATAAAATATAACACTTATGTGCCGGTGCAATCCGTCACAATCTGTGACGGATTGCACCGGGGAAAAATCGACTTGAAATTTGAGATTTGAGCTGGTGCGGGGCGCCACACACTCTGCGGTCTGTGGTCTCCGTGATGATGTCCGTCCTTCACGAGTAAACCGCGTCCGCTTACACAGGGTGATCCAAAAGTCCCGTGCTACCCATATAAATCCTAATGTTCTGGGCCCTTTCCAGAGTGGTCCCTTATATAGCTTTAGGGGCTTCCAAAAGTTGTTTCCTTTGATCTAGAGGCACTCACATAAATTCAATGCCCTATATCATTCGCTCAAAAGTTTCATGGGTGATGCTCTGTGCTTGCAGTGTGGAACTTTTGGGCCACCCTGTGAAATTTGACAAGCACACGAGTGAAGTTTTCTACATTTCAATTTTAAATCTATGGTACATTGCCCATATTATTGCTGAAGATTAGAACGGGGTGCTACGATCTGTGGCATATTTTACCGTAGCCCTGTTGGCGGTGACGACAATACCGGAGCCAAAATGGCTGTTACCACAAAATTATCATTGTACTGAGGTCTGGGAAAACAGGTAAGACTAGCGAGCTGATTATTGAAATTGACCTACATTTTGCAATTAGAAACTATAAATTCCGGCCCGGTTCAAAAACAACGTATACGCCATTAGTTTCCCTTTGCACATACGTGTTTTTTTCAGATGAGCCAGAACTTATAGGTCCGAATTGCAAAATGCAGTCCAATTGATAGACAGACAGATACACACAGTAGACATAGGTGGAATGGAGCGATCCTATTGGTTGAAACGGATGATTGCTAAAGACGAAGGGGGAAAAGGATGGACTAACTAAAGGGTCTTTCGTGGATTGCCGTTAGTTGGTCTATTCTGCCGTGCTACGGAAGAACGCTGTATGAACATTCGAGAGTTGCCAAATTCTCTTCGATAAAATGTCTATTTTTTAGGAAAATTATGAATATTTTTCCTTTAAATTTTTAGAATCTTTAGGTAAAATTGCGAACTAATTTATCTCGAAAAATTGGGAGGAAAATATTCATAAATTTACCAGAATATTCGCGTTTTATCAAAGGGAATTTGGCAACGCCTGAAGGTTCATACGGCGTTTTTCCTTAGCACAGCAGTATTACTGACCTCCCTCGTCCATTGCAACCACCTTTTTCCATGAGTAGGATTGTTTCATTTTCAGTTTGTCTATTTTATCTATTTCTTTGTCAATCAATTTCAATAATCAGCCCGCTGGGCTCCACCTCGAGTGCCGCAAGAACGGCGATTCGTTTTTCTCCACAGTAATAATATGCCTCAACGAAAAAATTGAGCTCATTGTTCGACTCATGTTTCCGTTCTGAAATTCTTGGTCATTTTTTCAGCTTCAATATGCCTTGGATTTTGGAGTTTTATACGACAGGCCTTCTCGATTGGGAAAGAACATCTTTCAATTTGGCGGTGTGGAGGTAAAACAGAGGGTGCAGTAATTGTTCCCATTATTCTTCCGGTCAAGAATTCGTTGCTCCTCCGACGTAAGGGCGTATCTCGATTTCTGTATGAGCCCCAGAAATCATAGATTCATATGTTAAACAAAGCTCACGTGAAAATTCAGATACGTTCATGTTAGAAGAGCAACAAACTGTCTGTAAGGATAGGGAAAGGGACTAAAATTATGGTGTAAGATTAGCGCGGTCCAGTGTGTGGAGGAAACAAATGAGTGCCCTCCTCAACTACTCATTCTTGTTTCACGTCACTAATTCATAGCCACTTTTTTTGTAAACAAGCCCATTAATGTTAATGAGTCGTTCGAAGAGAACCTTCATGAGAGGAGAAACAAAGTTATCTGTTATTTTTAACCGCTGAAATCATGTTTTATTGCAGCTATTTCGCTTATGAGACGAGTACCGTGAAATGGGTAAAATTAATGATTCAATTTGATAAAAAATGAACACATTGACATACCTCCGGCTCTATCATACATCTCGTTTAGAGTTTGAAATTTAAAGTTCAAAATTGCAATCTTAGGTGAAATGGTACGAGACTAGACGAAAGGTGTAGTACATTGAGTCGTTTCTTTTAAATGTACCAGGAAAGATAAGTTACATCGTATTGCAAGTGTAAATATGTGAAATTTAAACTAATAACATACGTTTTTCAGAGAGAATGCGAGAAAAATAAAACACGAAGAGGAAAAGTAAGAAATCAGGAAATAGAATTTTGATCCTCCAAACTTTAAAACAAGGTATTCAATTGGTATTTTTCTCATTGATAGGGAAATTGCTAAATTTGGCGAGTGTTAAAAATGTGACTATTTAAATATTAACCTAAGAATATGACAAAGGTCTGATTTTATTATTTAGCTCTTCCTTCGTTGTTTCCCAAACAAAGGAACATAACTCTTTTCCAAAGTTGCCAAATTGATCGAACCAATTAAATGTTTTACACGAATATACATGCGCAGTTTTTTTTTCCCAACATTTTTCTAATATTCATATGAGATCAGAAGAAAAATAAATGAGATGTCCGATTAGAAGTGCCCAAGATTCTCCTGGTAAAAATGCGATTTGCGAGGGGCATTTGGGCCACATTAAAGTTTAGTTACGTTCTTACGCCAGGGAAACGTCAGCTTGTGTCCAGTGGCGTGGCGTGAATAATCGATTATCGATATCTCGCCATTTGAAACTATGGTAAAGAATCGATTACTAAGGTGTTCGCTGCGAATACCCTGATAATCGATCTTTTTTCATAGGCATAAATGGCATAACAATCGATATATCGCAATTCACGCCACGCCACTGCTTGTGTCATGTATAAGTTGGGACTCGGTAGAATTGATGAAACTAAAGTGTGACGTTCAGTGCCGTAATGTCCTTTGGGATATATCGATTGATCTGTGATTTATACCTACGAAAAAGAATCGAAACACAAGGGGTTGTCAACAAACACCACAGCTTCAAATGGGGAGGTATGTAGATAATCGGTCATCGACGCCTCGCCATTACTGACGTTTATACTGCCGTGCTTAGGAAGAACGCCGTATGAACATTCGAGAGTTGCCAAATTGCCCCGGGTAAAGTATGTGTATTTGTGAACGATTATGCGTATTTTTCCTTGAAATTTTCAGACATTTTAGACAAAATTGCGAATAAAACTGTCTGAAAAAAATTGGAAAGAAAAATTCACGATTTTCCCAGTAAATTAAGTTTATATTGAAGGAAATATGGCAACTTCTGAAGGTTCATAAGGGGCTCTTCCTTAGCACGACAGTATACGACTCGGCTTGCTGTTCGACGAAGGTAAAGTTGGTTGGGCGTTGCGTCTCAAACAAACAGCTTTCCACCATCCATCGTGCGGAAGTATTGAGGGAAACGGAGAAAACACGAGGAAAAAGGAAAAAAGCCCGAAATTGAAAACAAAGGATGAAACTGTCGATCAAGATTAAGCTCGGGCGCATAGCAGCATCACCGCAGTCCGGATGAAAGTAAGCATCTGTCCCGTTCAGGTGGGTTGTCGAATGCTCTTTTCAATACTTTCGGATAAAACCGTCACACAGTGGGACACGTTTTGAGGAAAGTCAGATACGACCAAAGTAGCATTTTACAAATGATTTTTTTAAAATTAAACTGCCAATTTTTTAAATATTTTTCGGCGATGAAAATGCTATGATCATTGAAATCTGCTCGGATTAAAAACATCGCTGTAATACCCACGAGGGTGGGTTTGAAAATCGCAATTTATCGGAGTTTTCATCCTAATATTGCAATGAATTGACGTCGACAAAATCGCGACACATTCCTCCATCAAATGGCAACTTATCGCTAAATATTGCTACTTAGGAATTTGAAAATTTTGAAATCTTGTTTCTCAATGGAAATGTAAATGTTTTAGAGCTTCGTTAGTTTTCTTGTAGAATTCATTTCAACAATCACCGCTTAAGATTTGTAGATTGAGGGAAACTATATCAAAGTTTGCAGTTTTACTTTCACTAAAAAAATTCATCTCCGACCTTCTCCAATGACGTGTTCCACTGTGCGTCTTTAGCGGGCTTATAACTGGTCGGTTCGGTACAGAAAAGTAAGCACTTTTGTCTCCGCATGA